TTAGGTGCCTGATAAGATTCTCCTTGGTAAAACTCAGGTTAAACTAAATTAGCTTCTCTGTGACTGTTAAGGAGATTAAAGTAGCTATTTTTAGTTGTCTGTGTATGGCTTGGTTCAGAGTGAAAGCAAACATGTACAAGGTAAAGAGGAACTAGGAAATAACAAATACTAAATTAGGAGACAATGATGGGTTCTTAAGAAGTCTGAAGTGGCATCTTCTGGAGAAGGTGAACATGCTCTTTTTTTTTCTCCTCAGCTATTCTGAGGATGCTCAGGGGGAAATCCTGCATAAAGAAATCAGACTGCAGTAATAATGTAGCAGAGTTATTAAATGTCATGCAAGACAAGGAACTAGGAAATAACAAATACTAAATTAGGAGACAATGATGGGTTCTTAAGAAGTCTGAAGTGGCATCTTCTGGAGAAGGTGAACATGCTCTTTTTTTTTCTCCTCAGCTATTCTGAGGATGCTCAGGGGGAAATCCTGCATAAAGAAATCAGACTGCAGTAATAATGTAGCAGAGTTATTAAATGTCATGCAAGACAGGCTGCCTGATAATTTGATTTTCTTCTATCTGAGTACTCTCATGCATTTCAGACTACATAACCTAAGGCCGGAGACTTAATGAATTACCAGTGCTATTGAAAAAATCCGGGTTTTGTTCTAAGTTCCTCAATTCTGTGCTTTCATTTCAGGTTATTGCAAATAGTACCTATAACCCTTGCTTTCTCTACTTAGCAGAAAAGTTTATCACTTGCCAAGGTAGTATCTAAACCTTTTTACCTAAAAACCCAAACAAAAAATGTAGTGTGCCCCCTGCACTTCAATAAGCTAAACGTGATGTATCGGTCTTCTAGTTACCTTTAATGTTTCACTCATTAATTTCTTTCATCATTTCACTGTCCTTTGTGATGTCTTATTGAACTTTGTTTCTGAACAGAAGTAGGAGCGATATTTTATTATGAACTTGAACTATTCTCTTGCTTGTCTAACATTGGTATGTTGCCAACAGATTATGTTCATGCTTGTGTAAATAGGGTTAGCATAGATCCAGTAATCCAGCGCTACGCCTCCATTAAGCTTTGATGTGGATTTATAAATGTTTTATACTAGAGTAGCTTCTACAATGTTGTACAAAAGCACTGATTCTGGAAGTGACATGCTACAGTTCATTTACAGTAGTACAGTTGCCAAGTGTTGCAAGAACAGAGAGCAAGACTGAGACCACCAGGATCACTTTAATGTCACAAATTTCTTTCCTAGAAAAGTATTTAGGCAAGCCTTTTAAAAGCTTTCCTCACAAGTAATAAATGTCTGTATCAGTGATTTGTGCAAACTTAACTATGGCAGCATAAGACTGCAGCAATCTTATATGGGAAAAGTAAAGTCCAAAAAACTTATATGTGAGCTGTTTTTGTAAGTTGACTTATACTTTTAAAGCCTCAGTTATGTCAGTGCTCTGTCTCCAGTTTGTTCTACACTTTTTTAAAAATGCAGTTGCTTGTTTCAGCATATGGTAATGCATGCATTTATATATAAACGTAAACACTGAAATGGACTCTGTGCAGCCAATTTAAAACACAACTTGTTCCCCTCTCCAACAGGTAAAAAGCAAGATGGAGCTGTTGAAAATCGTAACAAAGGTAAATACTGATTCTCTGATTCTTTCTTGTAAGTCCCTATTTTCTGAGACTGTATGTAATGAAGACATACTTTCTTATGAAAATGTGTATTGAATACTGAGATCCAAAGTGTTTGTGCTAAAGATAGCATTAGTGAATCTGTCTAAAACAAATACTTAAATGAACCTGGTAGTCTCTATATAGCTAGATACTGCCAGATGACCACCCTGCTGCTCTCTCACTCCACCTCAGCAGGATCGGGGAGAAAATGGATGAAAAGCTTGTAGGTTAAGATAAGGATTGGGAGATCACTTAGTAGTTATCTTCACGGGCAAAACAGACTCAACTTAGGAAAGATTAGTTTATTGCCAATTGAAAAATAGAGTAGAATGATGAGAAACAAAAACAACCAATAACACTTTCTCCCTATTCCCACTTCCTTCCATACTTAACTTCACTCCCAACTGATCTATCTCCTCCCTCTGAGGAGTGCAGGGGGATAGGGAATAGGGTGTTTTGGTCATTTCATAACACCTGTGTCTGCTGCTCCTTCATCCTCATGCGCTTTCTCTGCGCCATCATGGGGTCCTTGCATGGGGTACAGCCATTCATGAACTTCTCCAATGTGGGCCCTTCCCACAGGGTACAGTCCTTCAGGAATAGAAGTGGGTCTCCCATGGGCCACAGCTGCTGGCAGGAGCCTGCTCCTTCACAGGCTGCAGCTTCCTTCAAGGCAGATCTGCCTGCTGTGTTATCGGCTTCTCCATGGGCTGCAGTATGAATATCTGTTCCACTGTGGTCTTCAGTGGGCTACAGGGAGACAACCTGCCCCACCATGGTCTTGTCCATGGGCTTGTCGCTTGCTGCCAAGACCTGGGTACCTATACCCACTGTACTTGTTTAAGTGTTCATGTATAGTATGGCATCTCTGGATGCAAGGTACTATGCAATACTGGTGTTTAGTACAGCCTGGTGTTACTAAGCTTTGTAAGTATCCTTGATTTGGGGAAATCCTCAATGGCTAAAGTTGATTTGGTCTTAACTTCTAGCTAAAGCTCAGGATGGTGCAGCCATGGAGATGCAGCCACTGAAGAGTGAGGATGGTGGAGATGGAGATGAGAAAGACAAGAAGAGAGCAAATTTGCCAAAGAAAGAAAAGTCAGTTCTTCAAGGCAAACTTACAAAGCTTGCAGTTCAAATTGGCAAAGCAGGTATGGTATATCAGTACCCTCCTCGTGTCAATGTCACACGTTTGAATAAAGTTGGAACATGCATAGTTTGTGAGAGGATGACTTAAGTAGCTAGCCATGACAGGTTGGATTACTGTAAGTGCAAAATTCCAATGCATGCAAGTATGCTGTTGTGCCTGAGTGTTCTGATGGCTTCTCAGACTGTCGTGTGTGGCTTGTTTTTTCTGTGGGTTTTCTTTTTTTTTTTTATTTAAATAGATACAGGCTTTAGTGTCAGCTTCTGGGAGAGAAAATTCCAGCTTTTTAACATTGGACAACTGTTATGAAACATGTTTTTAGATAAGATATGGCATTTAGTGATGCACTTAGAGAACTATAAATTGAGTGAAGTCTGGAAAATGTGGTACGGTCGACCAGGTTTTCTCTTGATAATTCCAGAGGCTTAGGAATTTCTACTTAACATATGCCTTGATGATATGTAACATTTGTTTTGACTTTCTACTCTCCTTTACATTCTATTTCTGTTCTATCAGCTAATATTCAGCTATCTTGTCTAAACATTTGGTAAACTGTTACTTCTTGAAAGAAGACTAAAACAACAATGAAGTTCAGTGTAAATTTTAGGGTATATTATCTAGTATGTAGATGTTTAATTCAAATATTTCAGGATTTATTTTGATCCATGTAGAATTGTTGAAAGATTTAGGCTAAAAAGTAACTTGTAAAAGTCTTGTAGCCCAGCCCACAGCTCAAAAGGGCTGACTTTAAGCATTGATGTCATAAGACAATAATGGTGTGAGGACAAAGCAATTAAACTTTTCCCTTTTAGTATTCTGTACAGAAATTTTAATTTTTTCAGAGAAACTTGTACTAACAAATGTTGAATAAAGCTTCCATGATATGTTTAGTCTAAAATACTGTTCCTCTCAAACAATTTTCACATCTTTCATGCATAAGAGCTCTTCTCCTTTATGTATCTTTTGACCCATTGTAATTCCTCACACACCCTTAATGCTCATCTACTTTGTGCATGCTTTTTTTTGTCCTGCTTCTTTGGGACAGTGCACACACTGAAGCATCTGTCTTCTGTTTCTTTATTACAGCCAGGTCCATTTTCCTTCACTGTGGTGTCTTAAATGTGCTGCTCAGCTTGCCAACAGCAGTTCTGATTTGTCTTCCCAGTTACTCCCAGTTCAGTGAACACTGCGCTAAGCTGCCATATTTAATCCCACCTTTGGCAGGAAGCAGGGTACAGACTGTCAGCAGCCTTCTCTACTGAATAAGTCAGCAGTACAATCGCTGAAGTCCTGCTGCATTATTTCAGTTCTTATTCTGCTTAGTCAATTGACTTTACGTATTGGATTCTCCTGTTCATAATTAGATCTACACTTTTCAATTAAATGGGAAGGAAAAAAGATTTTAGAAGTTTCTAGCTGAAATGCATGGGGAAATAGTTTCATTGGAAGTCAGAACCCCTTTGAGAACTACCTCAATGTTTCCTGACTTGCCTGTTCAAAATTTTTAGTTATAAACTAACTTCTGTAAAGGCAGAAGTATTTGCATTTGACTTATCCACAGTCTGTATTGTTAAATATTTGAGATAATTTCTGAAAACTGTTTGTTCTCTTTTTAACAAGGTCTGTTGATGTCTGCAATCACAGTCATTATCCTTGTGTTATATTTTGTAATTGATACCTTCTGGGTTCAGAAGAGACCTTGGCTTGCTGAATGTACACCAATTTATATTCAGTATTTTGTGAAGTTCTTCATTATTGGAGTTACAGTCTTGGTGGTGGCAGTACCAGAAGGTCTTCCACTTGCAGTCACTATATCTCTGGCTTACTCTGTTAAGGTAAGCAGATAGATGGGGAACAGATTTTAAAGGCAGGTGGGTGTGTTCATCAGCTGTAAAGTCTCAGTTGAGATATGCTGCATAAGATATACATAACAGACTGAGGAGAAGCTTTTCTTGTTTCCCTGAACTGCGTAAGAGATCCGCTGTGGTATTTTTCTTTAATCTCTGAATGTACACTGACATGAACAGTGAGCAGTGATGGCCTATTGTCACCAACTGAAAATGAATGGGTTTAGCATATAACACTGTAGCATTTGCTTATAACAAATAGATGTGTTAGAGTTTGTAAATAACAAACTCCTCTGTAAACCTGAACTTCTGCCTAACTGATGTGTTAAGCAACTAATACAAAAGTTTCCAGACCAATTCTTGTTGAGGACTGAATATTGTAGAACATATAGCTTTTTATATATTATACAGCATGTTTTTTTTTTTTTAACTCATGCTCTTTGTTCTCTTAATTTTCCTATTGCTTCAGCATGCTGGGACTGGTTATTGATCTGAAAATCTTAATTGTAAAGACAATGGCTGTTTAGGCTGTGTTGTAAAACTTAATAACTTACAGCACTAACTAGTAATAGCCTTAGTATTGTATCATTTGCACTTACTCTGCCTCATCGAGGTTAAAATACTATCCAAACCTGTTAAAGAATTTAAAGCTATGCTTGACTTACGAAATTCGTGTAGTCCTCACTCTCTTAGCTGAAACATTAGGATCCCAGTTTGTATTTGATTTTTAAATCTCATTCTAGGATCTTTGAAATATATACCATCTGATGTTCAGATGAGTCTGTAAGATAGCTTACTTGATCTTTCCTGTAAGCAGAAAGGCTTTTTAAAATGTTGTATCTGGTAGAGTTCAGTCTGTACCTCTCCTATTTGTACATACCATCATAAGCTATTTACTTGTAACAGTCTCAACAGTACCAGTAGTCAGTGTGATATGTAGATACAGGAGATGAAGAATGTAGTTATGAACCTCAAAAAAAAAAAATAGTTTACTGTGGCACAATAGACTTAAAGGAGTCCTTACAGAATGTGGCAGCTACAAATTCTTCCTGTGTAAGATGCCATGTGTTACATGCTGAGTGTCTTCTGAAACTGCTGTCTAAGACTGGACACCTTAAGTGAGAATTTGTGAAATGTGAAGTAATGGTCATGGATAACTGTTGACTGCTTTTATTTCCTTAGAAAATGATGAAAGATAATAACTTGGTGAGACACCTGGATGCGTGTGAAACAATGGGCAATGCAACAGCTATTTGCTCAGATAAAACGGGAACATTGACCATGAACAGAATGACAGTGGTCCAAGCCTACATCAATGAAAAACATTATAAAAAAATTCCAGAACCAGAAGCTATTCCAGAGAAAACTATGGCTTACCTTGTGACAGGAATTTCTGTTAATTGTGCTTATACGTCCAAAATACTGGTAGGTGGATTTCTTCATTCTAATGAAGGTAACTCAACAACTTCCTCAAAAGCTGCAAATGGTCTGGTGTCCACATGGTAGGCAGTTAAGTGTAAGTGTGTGGCAAAATGCAGTGTAAGGTGTTTTGTACCTGCTGTAAATTGCTCAACCATTCATTTGAGGCTAAACTGAAAATAGCTTACTTCAGTTAGAACTGATCATTTAGATTTTGAACTGATAATTTAAAGATACAGTCTCAGGAAGATAACTTTAAGTTTAGCTTACTTCAGTTAGAACTGATCATTTAGGTTTTGAACTGATACAGTCTCAGGAAGATAACTTTGTTTAAGTTCACAGTTGTGTCTGAATTTGTTTCTAAGTGTTGCTGTTTACCTTACTTGAAGAGCATCTTCGCTCTATTTGAGTGCTACTTCAAAGTAAATGTGTAAGAGTAGCGTAACGAGCTAGAATGTAATGAGAAAATGCAAGTACAGATGAGGATTTTGATGGATTTTTATTCCAAATGCTGTTATATGAGTCTATAGGCTTTAGAATTCTAACGTCCTTGCTAATACTTGTTTGAGACTTCTAAAATATTTCAAAATTATGAGAAAAACGGACTGTTACAAATATTAAATACTGGACTATTTAGCTCTTTTGTGTGCATCATTTTCTGTAACTCCTAACACAACTTTCTTGCTGTAGTTGTTCCAATGTGTTGCATAACTTATATTTTTTAAGGCAGGAAAAATAATAATTAAGATTTAGCTTTTAAAAATAAATAAAATAGCACTTTAAGATTTAGTAGAAGCCTCCATTTTGAATGCTTTGTACAGGAATAGCAGTAATACCCCAGTCCAAAAGCTACTTTTCAGCCAATAAAGATGGTACGTCTGCAAGAATTTCCTTAATAGCAGTATTTGAGATGACATATGAAGATCAGTAGCTCTGATTTCTCTGTAACATGACTGAAATACTACTAATGAGCATGGAGGAGTTTCACCGTCTATTTTCTAAAGATCTTTTATAAAAATAAAAAGAGTAGCTGCATGTAAACTGAGCAGGTCCTTTACTGCTGTGATTTTCATCAAATTACATTCAGTGCAAAGTTAGTCTGTTTTACAGAATCACAGAGGGCTGAAAGGGACCTCTTGAGATCCTCTGGCTCAACTCTCCTGCTCAAAGCAGGGTCAGTCAGAGCACATTGCTCAAGGCTAAGAATCTCAAGAGATGGAAACTCTGCAACCTCTGGGCAACCTGGTCAAGTATTTGACCACCCTTAGAGTAAAAAGGTGCTTCCATGTGTTCAAATGGCATTACAAGAGTTTCAGTTTGTACTCTGCCTATTGTCCTCTCACTGAGCACCATTAAGAAGCCTGACTTGGCGGTCTTTACCATTGCTCCACCTGCCTGCCCCATTCAGGCGTTTAATACATACTGATTTCTCCCCTAGAGCCTTCTCTGCTCCAGGCTGAGCAGTGCCAGCTCTCTCAGCCTCTCCTCACATGTCAGGTGCTCCAGTCCCTTTATCATCTTTGTGGCCTGTGGCTGGACTTGCTCCTGGATGTCCATGTCTCTTGTACTGGGAAGCCCAGAATTTGACTTCTTAAAATGCACATTAAAGCGGACATTTTTAAAGTATGAGTACTCAGTACAGCCAAATCCAAGATCTTGCAGCTCTGAACGATGATAATGGATCACTGACTTATGATTAATATAGTTCAGCTCTAGCAGCGTCAGGCTGAGTAAGTGCTTCTACCTTTTTTGCTACAAACTCCACTGCAACATTATAGCTATACAAGCTTGGAACTATCTTGAGAGAAATAGTCCTTTGGCACTAGTATGTGCATACTCCACACTGCTGCGATAAGAAACTTGTTCTGGTGTTAAAGGGTTGGAAACTTGTTTCTGAACTCTTTCCAGATAAATAGGCCATGGCCTGGAAAATGGAACTTGTAGTGAGACTTAAGAAGCTTAAAGACTTAGTTTGTTCAGTAGAAGGCTAACAGGTGATATGATCATAGTGTAAGTTATTGAGGAAGAGTTATTACGGGAGAGGATACTTTTAATTTTGCAGAAGTAATGCTATTTAGTTTGTTTAAATCAGTTTACTTATCTGTATCTTTAAAATGCAAAATAATTATTCAGAGACTGCACTCAATTGATCAGATAGGTATTTCAAGCAACGGAAAATGCCTTTTAGAAAGGTCATGTTGAGATTTGATATAAACTTAATGGGTGATTTTTGAGTCTGAGAAAGGGACTGAAAGATCCTAAACAGGTACAGAAGTTGTCACTTTCAAAAGTCAGCCATATGACTTTGGCTCATGACTCATAGGAATATATAGGGTAATCATTGCGAAAGTGAAACATCCCCATCCCAGAGCTAAGCTTCACCTTAGCTTCTTTGTTTTCTACATGCTATGCTTCAGTGGTTCATAAGTTAACCTCCTAATCAGTGAAGGTTCTTGTTCTTCTTGCAGCCTCCTGAAAAAGAAGGTGGCCTACCACGTCATGTTGGAAATAAAACTGAATGTGCCTTGCTGGGATTGCTCTTGGATTTAAAACGTGATTATCAGGATGTAAGAAATGAGATACCAGAAGAGGATTTGTACAAAGTGTACACCTTCAACTCTGTTAGAAAATCTATGAGTACTGTGTTAAAAAACTCTGATGGCAGTTTCCGGATATTCAGTAAAGGTGCCTCTGAGATAGTTCTTAAAAAGTAAGAACAACTACTATTGTAACTCAGCACTTAAATTTGGTTAAATGTTGTGATAGGTGAGGAGACTGAAGTGCTAAACAATATTGTGCCCATAGTCTGCAAAATATTTCTGTCACCCTATTCACAAACAAGTGCAGCAGTCCTATAATCTTGTGATTGCAGCCAGCTTCCCAGCTTATCTCCCTTGATTGTTTAACTTTCTAAGGTAAAATGGGCAATTAGCATTTCAGTTACTTTAATTCTCACACCCCAGCCCCACCCCCCAAAAAAGAGCTGGTCATGATTAATTTTAACTTAACGAATTAAATTTAACTTTTAACTTTAACAGCAGAGCTATCTGCTCTGATACAGGAAAGCATCTATGAATTGATCTATTCTCTAGTTAAACTATTTTAGTTTTAGGTGTGGTTGGTCAAAATGCTCACCCATCTGCCAGTAAAGTCCCAACAGCTGATATGCCTAAATTCCAGGCAGCACTTGTGCTTTTGAAGTGATTACTTTAGCTTCAAAAGACTGTGCAAGTTGGTGTCCAAGTTGATCGCTTTAACAGGAGGTTGAATTTGGCCAATAGAGAAACTTGAGGGTTTTTAATGTGACAAAGCAAATTGCTTCCTTATCCATCTGCCCATCTATAGAGGATTTATTAGAATGAGATTAGACTATTAGTGAGAGATTAGTCACCACTGGGACAAATCTTTAGGTGTGAAGAAGGCTGTGGTTACACCTAACTAGGTGAGGAGAGAAGTCAAGCATGTATGCATCACGTTCTCTAGGAACAGCATTTGTAGGCAGTCTGGTTGTGGTTCAGATTAATTCTAGTCTGAGTAATGCATAGACTATGTTCATCAGTTCAATTTACATTTTGCTTGCTGCTAGCCCCCCAGATCATAATCTAGGAAAGTACTAATGCACCAAAGAAAAAAAAGATGAAAACTTCCTTCTCTTCACCTTAGTGCTGATAATCAAAAGGTCACGCTGTTACTTTTGATACAAACTTTGATTTAGATGTGAATTTTTTCATAGCTAGACTTTAGGCCAAGTCTCATCAGTGAGTAAGTATGCCTATATTTGCATTACTTCTACCTTCAGAGGTATTTTGTACCTTATTATCTTATTGAGCAATTGAACTGCAGAAGTTGCCAGAAATCATTCAGCCCAGACTCATGTGGTCCACTTGGCTTCATAACTAAGATAAGAAAATAAATAAGGGCTTTTGGCAAAGAACAAGAAAACCTAGACTGATTCAGATACTATTGTAATAGCTGTAATTCCAAAACTGTTTCAGTTTGCACCAACTAAGAAAAAGTCTTAGCATCATAAACCACTTGCTTTACCCGCTACCTTTGCAGTGCCAGAAATTAGTCTCAGAGCATGTAACCTGGTTTGTCAGTTGAGCTGCTCATTCTTTAATAAAACGCATATGATTATTCTTGAGCAGTGAAAGCTTAAACATAAATATTTACAAGATACAAATGAGTCACTAATAAGTGTAGAAGACATGCAGCAAACTTTTTCAAGCAGAACAATTTTATTCTTCTTTCCTTACCATTAAGACAAATATTTGAAGCAAGTTTCAATGAAACCTTTATATAAGGTTATTGGCCTCCATTTAGTCATCTTGGAATGCTTTGAATTTATCACAAGCCCTGTGATTGCAGGTAACACAAGATATCCTTAGTGGTTGCTGACACTAAGATAACCAAATGAATGCTGACACTGAATAGATAACCAAAATTAGGAAATTCAGCTAGACTTCAAATTTCAGTTATGAATACTATGAAGTTTTAAGGGACTGCTTCATTTTCATTTCCTGCCTGAGGCGGAAACTTTTTCATATATATTGCACCTGGTAATTCCCTAAACCCTTGGACTAAACATTTAGATGTAACAGAGTCATCTTAGCAGATCTGCCTCATTTGAACTTGATATTAAAAAAAAAAAAGGAACATATTATTACTTTTTTTTTCAGTGCCACATTAGTACTAATTTATAAAACAAATGCTTGTGGTGTTGCTTAATGACAAACTTTGCTAAGGATGCGGATGAACAAGACTAAATTTATTTTTCAAAATATTTGGTAGTGTTATATTTCATGGCATCAATATTGGTAAAATATGTATGCTGTCTGTGAAAGCAGTGGCATCTTTGGTATGAAGAAACATAACTAAAAGTGTGTATATTGAAATGCTAGAGTAGACAGTGTTGCATCTAGTCTCGTATTCAAATGTTTAAATCTGATTTAAGTATTTGGTTTTAATTTAATACTTCACATTAAGATGCCAGATGCTCTTTGAATTCCCTGCACTTAGTCGGAGGGGAGGGAGCAGGCAAGCCTTACTACTCCTAAGGATAGTGATACCAGAGTTTGCTTTTAGTGTTCTAAGTTTAGTGCTTACAGCTGTTTAAGCACCACATGCATGTTCTGGAAGCATATGGTACTTTGGAGACTTGTAAAACTGTTAACAAGGTGGGATTATTTTGTTGAACTTCAAACTGGATTGACTGACTCAACCAGTGCAGGCACCAGTCAGTTAAATACAATGGAGAAACGGATATTTCTGGGAGGCAACTGGTGTTTGTGTCCTAAATTCGTTGGGTGTTATTTTATGTTAGGATGAGCGGCTCAGTTAACTTTCCAATTGGAAAGCGATTGAGTGCATATGGAGAAGATTACCTTAGAGATTCTGCTAGCTTTTTGGGGTTTTTTTTTGTGTGTGAGTCTAGTGAAAATAAAGCTTGCGGAAACTTACTGGATTTAACTAATAAGTCATTGAATAGGCTGAACTTCCGGTTAAAATTTGAATAACTCTAAATTTAAACATTCCTTTTCAGGTGCTTCAAAATACTGAGTGCTAATGGAGAACCAAAGGTATTTAGACCTAGGGACCGCGATGATATCGTGAAAACCGTAATTGAGCCAATGGCTTCTGAAGGACTCAGAACCATCTGCCTGGCATTCAGAGACTTCCCAGCAGGGGAACCTGAGCCGGAATGGGACAATGAAAATGATATTGTTACTGGTCTGACGTGCATTGCTGTTGTTGGGATTGAAGATCCTGTGAGACCTGAGGTAGGGTCACTGACTAAACTGCAGTGATTGTTAGAATGGTTCTTGATTCATGTTGTTCGTCATGTAGAGAGTACAAGAAACTGAATTGGCTATTGTATGCCTTAATCATAGTTGATAAATGAAAATCTAATTTCTTGAGAGGAAAGTTAATGGAGCTATAAAAGCAGATTAAAACTTCTTAATGTCACTTATGCTGTGTTACTGAAGCTCTGTACAAACTAATGACTTAAGGCGCTTACTGCACAGGATCTCAGTAGATGGAACAACTTGTAATTTTTTTTTACCACTTGGAATATTAGGAGTGTTGTTTGGGATAGTATTAGCCATTGTTGCCAGCTTTTCATGGGGAATGATGGAGAGAAGGGTAGAAGGATTTGTCACTTGAGAACTGAGGTAAGGAGTCTAGCTTGTGGATGAGGTCTAAGGAGGGCAGTATTTTTCAATAGTGAAAGCTTTTATGCCGCATGTAAGTAGAACTCCAGTCTGATCTGCACTATCATCACTTCACACTAAAAGTCATGGGTGAAGTAGTGGAGTGTGAGCTGTAGTTTATTTCACATAATCATAAATGCAAAGCCGGTACTCAGTACTTTTGAATACTACAGCCTAATGTCATGAGGATTTTTGTGATATTTTTCAATACTGCAGTATTTGAAAAATGAAGGGGGAGTGAGGAGGGAATATGACATAACAACAAAGTCCCTTTGCCAGAATTGCCATTTGTGTGTTTTTAGGAAAAGAGTTGTGGTAAGCTACTTAATTTTTTGAAAGTGTTCCATAACAAAATCTTCATTTAAAAATAAGAATTATCCTGGATTGAGCCAAAAACATTCCAATCACATGTTTGGATTTATTCAGCTAATGTACGGTCTCTGAGCCTATGGGTGTTTGTTTTTTTTTTTGCTTACAGGTACCTGATGCAATAAAAAAATGTCAGCGTGCAGGCATAACTGTACGTATGGTCACTGGCGATAACATTAACACTGCTCGTGCTATTGCGTTAAAATGTGGTATTCTGAATCCTGGTGAAGACTTCTTGTGTTTAGAGGGCAAAGACTTTAACAGGAGAATACGCAATGAGAAAGGAGAGGTAAGCATACTGACTGTGTGATGTAGATCAGCAGATATTCTAAGTCTCCTAACTAACTGTAAAACATAACCAATGCTCTTTTTGCAGATAGAGCAAGAGCGAATAGATAAAATTTGGCCAAAGCTTCGTGTTCTTGCAAGATCTTCTCCCACTGACAAACACACTCTAGTAAAAGGTAAGTAAAAACTATCTGAGCTTCTAAGTAAAACTAGATTTTATTTTGTTTCTCCTTCTAGGAAAAAATCTAGGACTGAGCAGTGGGAAATGCCGATGAGGGTGTCTTCATTTGCCAGCTGATTTTTTTATTATTTTTCTTTTTTCTGCTTGAGGAGTGGAGCCAACTAGAACTATCTGTTGTGGTTTGGTTTTTTTTTTAATGACTCTGAGAAAGACAAAAACTAGGTTTCTGTTTCAGGTTTAATCTCTGCTGTGTTGTCAATTTTGAACTATAATACAAGATGTCATTTTATTTTAGGTATAATTGACAGCACTGTCTTTGAACAGAGGCAAGTTGTAGCAGTAACTGGTGATGGTACCAACGATGGTCCAGCTCTGAAGAAGGCAGATGTTGGATTTGCTATGGTATGACTTTTTTTTTTTAATCTTCAGTATTCTGGAGACCTATTTTGATAAAATAACTTACCAAATCACTTAGAAGAAGATTAAACAACCGTACTTGTTTCATGATCCTAATGTACAACTAAATTAATGGAGTCAACATCTCTCATACTTAATACTAGTTACTTATTACTTAAGTCTTCCAAATTAACTATGTTTCTATTTGATGGAAGATGTCCTTGTGGCATTTGCCATTAAATAAAACTTAAATGCAGATCCTTAGTCACTTGCAAATCAGAATCTTTTTATATAAAGTCTTGTTGCAAAATGTAGGAACAGAATTACTGATTCTGAAGATTTCTGAGATGAGATCTGTTCAACATAAGGCAAAATGACTTAAAATGGTAAATTAGCATACCATGTTGACTTTTAGTAAAGCTTTTATGCAGTACGGAATTCATCTGTTTTCCATGAAGTTGTGCATAGAAACAGGAAGACTATAATGAGAGAGACCGCCAGTTGATGTTCAAAACGGCTTTGGAGGCTATACTAAGACGTCTCTAGTACAACTGAAGTAACAGCATCTTACGACAATCTAGGATCTGCATTTGTCTGGATAGTTCCTTAGATTAGTTGACTTTCTCAATTTAAATTCTCAACCATCCTTTCAAACAGTAGCCAAACCAAGTCTTGGCTTTAAGTGCTAATCCTAGACAGACTCATGCCTTAAGTATGTAGGCTTCAGATTTCTTCTGTCTCTTTCAAAACACTGTAAGATAGATTCCTCAGGCTTCCTCTTGCCTTAAGATTCATCCACAGTCTTAAGTGGAAAAGGTAAAGTTTGATGCTAGTAGGTCACTTTATTCTTTAAAAACTCATTATTAAGCATGTGAAGGAAATAAAAAAAAAAAGCAGCTCACACTCCTGCACCACATGCAGATGCACTGACTCAGATGCTAATCTTGAAGGAAAAAGTAGGAAGAACCACCTTTGTGTTATTCTAAAGGAGCATTTTTCAAAAGCATAACTTAGAATTTGGTAGCTACACACAAAATGTTCTCTAGACTGTAACAGTCACATTTTAATGAGTATCTGTTTTCTGCTATTCTGTAGCTGCTGTAGTTGACACTGTCAGAGGCAGATTATTGTGATCTTCCAGAACTTAAATGTTTCCTGCAGTTGCTGTCTATGTTCATCTGTGTAAGAAACTAATTTCTCTATCTGGTTATCTAAATAGCACTTAAAATATACCATCTACTTACTATATGGTATTTAAAGGTACCTTTTAAGGTGTACACATAGCTGTGGACATTACTCATTTCCTTTGCAAAATAACATATTAAGAATAAGAATCACTAAATTTTGCTGTTGAGTTAGTGGTTTTGAAATGCTGAAAGCAAAATAAATATCCTTGAAGTAGGTATTACACGGAATTTGGTTTAACTGTTTGGATACTGTAGGAGACTACAGGTGCTTAAACCTTAAGAATGTCATATTGCATTGCAGTGCTAGATGCAGTGACATTGCATATTCTACTGTTGAATGCCAATGCTCTTCTGCAAAAGGTTTTTGGTAACGTGTATCGTTCTACTGTGTTATGAACACATGCCTTGCCCTACTGCTGGAATCCATACAGCAGACTCCTTAGGCCATAGGCTAAACAGTAGTACTGCACCATCTGGTGGCCTTGAACTTGAACAGGGTTCAGTAACGTTTCTTTGGGAGAACTTACACAGTGTCTTTATCATCAACTTCAGGTTTTTTCTTATTAAGGTCTTTCTTTTAAGAGTTACCATTTTTTGTTTACATTTTCCTATGCTTGAGGAGAACTTGCATGCAGAATGTGATTGAGTAGAAATTTAGGTGCTTACATTAAGCACCTAAGATATGATGCATCGAAGCGAATGCTGACCAAGGATGTAATAATAGCTTCTGTTATGTAAGCCAGTGCATCCTATTATATTTCATAGTGTTTTTCTTTTTCTACCAGGGTATTGCTGGAACAGATGTAGCTAAAGAAGCTTCTGATATTATCCTTACAGACGACAACTTCACAAGTATTGTTAAAGCAGTTATGTGGGGACGAAACGTGTATGACAGCATCTCCAAGTTTCTTCAGTTCCAGCTTACTGTCAATGTAGTAGCCGTAATTGTTGCTTTTACAGGAGCATGCATAACCCAAGTACGTACTGCTGGTGGATTGTTTCGGCTAATAAAGATTGAAAATGTCGTGACTGATTAACTCTTGGATTCAAACATCTAGTTAAATACTAGTCCAAAGAACATAATGCTCTGAGAACACACCCATGTTGTGTAATAAATGCCTTTAATAGCTGCAATTTGTTCACTTGTATTGGAGGGTTTATGTATCTATCTTTGTAGGATTCTCCGCTTAAAGCCGTGCAGATGCTGTGGGTAAATCTCATAATGGACACATTAGCTTCTCTTGCCCTGGCAACAGAACCACCCACTGAAGCTCTTCTGTTGCGAAAGCCTTACGGTAGAAACAAACCTTTGATTTCTCGTACAATGATGAAGAATATTTTGGGTCATGCATTCTACCAACTCGTAGTGGTCTTCACACTCCTATTTGCTGGTAAGAATACTGAGGCTTTACGAAGCTATTATAATAAGTTGTACAGAGCTGTGATCTTAAAACTAGTTTTATATTGTAGTGTGTGTGTAAAGACACCAATTAAGCTGCTGATAAATGCCTTTTGTACACAGGTGAGAGAATTTTTGATATCGATAGTGGAAGAAATGCACCCCTGCATGCTCCTCCTTCAGAGCATTATACTATTGTATTTAATACATTTGTGATGATGCAGCTTTTTAATGAAATTAATGCCCGAAAAATTCATGGTGAAAGAAACGTTTTTGAAGGAATCTTTAACAACGCTATCTTCTGTTCTATTGTTCTGGGGACATTTGTTGTGCAGGTAAGTAACTTCTTGGAAGGTTGGAGGGGGGAGGGAAATGCACTTGGTACACTGACATGCTTGCTCACCTTGGAAATGCTAATCAACTAGTGCCAGGCATTTAGTTTCTGCACCGTGGTAAACCTTCGGTGCCAAACATGCTATATAAATCACTTGGAAGTGCTGCTTGACAAGATTTTCAGGTAAGACCTCTTTGAAATTGGCAAAATTGGATTGTAGAAGTACTTATATTTACCTTTTGAATTTTCTAGTCATTCAATTTGATCTTAGTATTCTAGTCTCATGAGAAAACGTGGATTTGTTGCGTATTCCCCCCCCCCCCAGCCAGAACTCTTCCTCATAGTATCTGCCTGTGCATCTGAACGAAAGCCCATTTAAACAATGATAGAAAAGTTACAACTTCTCCTTCTTAGTGAGATTAGGGCATGAATAAGCTTTAGGAATTTGAGTATCAGTTTTCATCTTCCTGGTGCAGAAATCGGTTATCTGAATAGATACTGCTGTTTTAGGCATTACTTTGTGAAAAACACTGATCTCTAGGGACCTTCTGTTGGTGCATCTAGGCAGATCTGTACAAGCTAGTTAGTTAACTCGGTATATGCTAAAAAATTAAATGAAATTATCTGAAATTGAGTTAACATACTGATGTTGAGAAACACCAAGTCAAAACTGAATCTAAACAAAGTAGTTTACAAGAAATAGCTTCACCTTCTAGATGGCCTTAACTTTTAATTCATCAGAATAATCAGCAAACCAGGATACTACTATTTTTTCAGAACTCTTTTTCATTTTGACTTATTTCAGACTTAAGATATAACCCATGCCCTGAGCTTCTCCTTAGACTTGGGATTCCATGAAGTTGATCAAATTCATAGTGGTTCAAGCAATACAACTGTATGCACCTCTGCTTCACATAAAGTTACTTCACTTATTCTCCCAGATTTAGGGTTTTTTTAGATGATACTTCTTCAGGAGCTACTCGTATTTTTAGGGTTGCATATACAGCAGACTGACTGTTAATTGTGCAACAAAGCCAAATATGTAGAAATTACTCCTGACTGCAACTGTGTTCCCTTTATAAACTTGGCAGACTGAGTGACTTCCCAAATAACTAACTCCCGAGTTGTCATCAGTGTTTTATTCTGTGATAATAAAAGAAGATACTCTTGGGCTTTTCAGCTGTCAGGTGTCCTACTTAATGGTCAATACTGTCTCCTTTTCATGCCTACCTTGCTACTTGAGTTGTTGATTCTCCAGGGCAGACTTTATGCATATAATTCCTATGCAGAGGGATACCTTGCTCATTAGGGCCTGTACTGTTTGTTGTAATAGGTAAGTCAACAGGAGCTCATTTAATTTAGCTTTTGAGATCTCTGCCCCTCCCCCCCAAGACTTACTACATAGATGTCACACTGTGATGATTTAAAGTCTGACGTTTAACGCTGGGATACATAATAACATTCTGTTGAATTATTTCTGAAATGTTTCATGTCTTCTGGATCTATGACTCATGTTAATAGAAGTTGATTAATCAACTTGGTCCTGAGGTGGGTGTTCATGTGATAAATAATCACTGTAAATTTGTGGCATCGCATGCGTGCTGTAATGGTGAAATGAAGGGAAAGAACTGCAAGCAAAAAGAAGTAGTCAATGGGTTTTTGAGTGTGACATTTGAAGAGTAACTGCAAGGGTAGTTCTTGAAATACTGAAAAGCATAAGAGGATGGCTTAGGTTTGGAAACTTGTGCAAACTTATGAGACAGTGGAGGTGTATGCTTAATAAGATGGGAGTTGGCTCTAGTGATCTTGAGGCATTAGGGAATTTTCTAATAGCAGTTCACTGAGACGTGTTGTTTAATTATGTTACTCTTCACAGATAATTATTGTGCAGTTTGGTGGGAAGCCTTTCAGTTGCTCAGAACTCTCAATTGAACAATGGCTGTGGTCCATTTTCCTGGGCATGGGAACACTACTCTGGGGCCAGGTAAACCAGCTTTTTCAAAATGCCAAATATCTACTCGTATTAGAATACTTTAAGTGGAAAATGCAAATATATCTTAAGCATTCAGGTCTTTTGAGTGGACTATGTGAATATATGGAGATTAACAGTAAATACTGTTTAAAATTGGCTAGTCCAATAGCTACAAATTCCTTAGTTGGATATTTCTTAATCTGACTTGGTCAATTAGTTACACTTCATAACTAGATGCTATGGCCGATTTATGTTTAGTAACTTTTAACTAGAAGCAGCTGTAGTTACCTTTTTAAATATGAAATTATTTATTTAGCTGGATAAGTAAGATTACAGATGCAATGAACATGTCAATGTTGAAATATATTTAACTTAGTGTTGAATGTTTTTTGGGTTTTTTTTGTTTTGTTTTTTTTTTTAAAATCAGAATTGTTAAACTTGCTAGTCTTTTCTGATTGAAAAACTTCCTAGAGTAGCAAGAAATGCAGCAAAACTCAAAATTCTCTTTAATCTTCAGTTGCATAATTATGAAATAATTTGAAAGTACTCCCAACTATTAAGCTATTACATTTTGATTTCTTTTTTTCTTTCTTCCTTAGGGTTTCATTACTATTGCATGCACAACAGTGCTTGTAAGCAGCAAGCTGATTTATATGAAACTTTAGAGCTATGGAGTTTTCCATTATTTAATGACATAGTTGTCCAAACTTTTAATACTACATGAAGAGTTTTCCATTACAGTTTCTTGCCTTCCATTTTGTAAAGGACACTTCAGGTTTCAGTATAAAATTGGTAGGGTGAATTTTAGTTGTAAATACATACATAGATGCATATTCTAAAAGTGGGTATAAGCTTTTTCATGAAGTCCTCTGGAAAATTAATGATTTAAAAAGATCAAGTAGTCACTCTGAGGTTTAAAAGTAGCCTAGAAGGGAGTAGAGATGGCTTGAAATAACTTTGACCCAAAGTGTCTTGCAAGGGCGAAGCTTCCCTGCTGCAGTTCATGCTGCTCTAGCATCTCATTAAAGTCAAAGAACTTTTGACTTTCTGAGAACAGAAGAAGCTGAAGTGTGATCTGGGAGCATTCATAGTAGCAATTTTGGCATGGAGGAATGTTTATGTTGCTTTTGGAGCAGTCTTTTTCCTCTGCAGCTGCTGAAATGGTCTTCTAGGTTTGTGATGATGAAGGAAAGCAGTCTTGGAACTGAGCTGGATCTGCTAGATGGGACGTATCAAAAGATGACTCCCCTTAAATACATAGTTCACCAGAATAGCCCTGAAGGTGGGGATGAAAAGGAAAGCTGGGACAGCCATATGTAGCTTTTGTTTAGTTTAAGATAGATGAAATAGTGTACACCAAATTTCAAAGTAACAATTTGGGATAAGGGTTTTGGAAACATCACTCACCTTGCAAATGGATTGATACCTTCCAGGTCACCAAAGAATGCATGTCTGTTCTGTATTTCTGAATTAACTGGGGCTACTTTAAATTATGTAGTTCTCACTTGAGGTAGCACATCATGTTCATCAAACTGGTGGAGCTCTGAAAGCTCTAGATACAAGCACAACCTACAGAATTTAATGGCTCTTGTAGCTTCAGTACTGCTCCTTCCTGGCATAGTCAATTAATGTTAAAGTGGAATTCTTTGTCCTAGCAAAGATCTTAGTTTTCTAGGTTTGTAGTCCCAAGTTTAATTTCATACCTCAGCTGAAATGGTGAGGGTATTCACAGCTTTGCAGCTATTCAGGTGGAGTGATCGCTCTACATTGCACTCATCCATTTACATAATTCGTTTTTTCAGCTTTGCTAATTGTACACAGGATATTATATTAAGCCTTAAGTCAGGTATTACATTTTTTTTTTTTTAAATAATCCTGATTCATATTTTTCATTCATCGTTAGTTGATTTCAACAATTCCAACTAGCCGTCTGAAATTCCTTAAAGAAGCTGGTCATGGAACACAAAAGGAAGAGATTCCTGAAGAAGAACTAGCAGAAGATGTAGAGGAGATCGATCATGCTGAGAGAGAATTACGTCGTGGTCAGATCTTGTGGTTTAGGGGCCTAAACAGGATACAAACTCAGGTATGGTCTTGAAAAAGGTAGGATGCAGTGGGTGTTATGAGGGAAATCTCTCCTCTCCATCTCCAGTCCTTTGACTAAGGTGGCAGTTCTAACTGGTGTGACTGAGACTGTCAAGAGGGGGTATGAATGGATGTATAATCCCTCAGGGTCCTCTGTTTTCTTCAGCTCTAAATGCAACTCTTGCCTATTTATCTTCTCTATTAAAAAAAAGTGCCTTTTTTCTTTACTTTTTGTGTGTTATAGATGGGATGGTCCTTTCTCTTGTTCTCTCTCTCTCTCTTGCTGAGCAAGCTGTCACAATCTCTGATTCCTTGCAGATGGATGTAGTGAATGCTTTCCAGAGTGGAAGTACCATTCAGGGGGCTCTAAGGCGGCAACCCTCCATCGCCAGCCAGCACCATGATGTAACAAATATTTCTACCCCTACACATGTAGTGTTTTCCTCTACTACTGCTTCTACTACTGTGGGGTGTGAGTGTGTGTTCCTAAAGTGCATGAAATTAACATTTCCTAATTCACGTACCTAACGTTTCTCATTTTCTCCTTAGTACTTAAAATCATCGTTCAGGCTTTTATAGAGCTCTTCCACAAAGTGGAGTCCTCAAGACTTTTTTTTCTTAGAGGGCTGAGAACAGGTGGAACAGTTTCAACAAAAGACTTTAATGTGAAAGCTGTGAGCCTGCACATCCTGTGCCTTCATCCATTCATGTACAGGGGGATGTTTAAGATAAAGCGGGAGAACTGTTGTAAATTTTCGAGTATATGCCTCTTAGGGTGACTTACATTGAATAAGTGAATTAACTGTATAATCATGGACCCAGGTCAACAAAAATAGATGTCTTGCCCTGAAGCACAGATGATACTTAAGGTAAACAAGCTGATGTGAAAGCAAATGAGATGTTGAAAATATGACTGTAGTTAGAACATGGAGCACTAAATGCATTTTCTTTGTAGCCTGTAAGGAACTTCTGAATCTTTGCTTTTGTCGGACCTTTTTTATCAAATAACACAACTTTCTCGACATTAGGATTCAGGTGGTGAAACAAGGCTTCTAAAATGCATGCAAGTCAGAAGAAACATTTAATTAGCTAATATAAAAAGGAAAAACAAAGTTTAAGCATTGAATAGTGAAACTTTTATTCAGATCTGAAGGGTTTTTTTTCCTCTCTAGGTTCTTCTGGCAGCAGTTCATAAGCCATCAGTGAAAGTAAAGTTTGTCTCACCTTAATTCTGCCCTCTGTATTGTGCTTTAAGTGGCATTTCAGTTTCAGCCTTGCTCTCTGTAGAGGCTAGAGATTTAATTACTCATGTATGTAGGCTTAAACTCTGGAGCCTGAAGATGTGTAACAGTTAAAGTTGAATACTGATAGTTAATAACTATTTCCGTCTTAATTATGTGTTTAACTTCCTTCTCCAACTTCCTAGAGACTGGCTAAATAATTGGGTTTTGAAATAACTCTGAGAGGGCTTCCTTTTCCCCCTACTTTTTAAACTTTCAGATTACCAGATGGATGAAGACCCTTAATTTCAGGAGCTGTCTTAAATGAAATGTTCTCTTCTGATTTTTTTTTTTCTTTTCACTTGGCCAGAATTCCTGTGTGAGTTTGCACAATTATTTACCTCTATGGGTTCTCCATTGTCGAGTCAGGTATTTCCCTACCTTACAGTAGTATTGAGAAGCTCAGCTCACAAATTCACATGCCTCAAGAACACGAAATAAGAAGTAGATTTAACAGTAAAGATGTGCAAGATTACATCTCCTAGTTAAAATGCTAATTAGTAACCTGTATCCCTAACTACACTGAAGAACATTAATTAGACATTCAGAATTCTCTAGAGAGCAACTTCATGCCATGCTGCCATTTGAGCGGAATCTAATGGGCACTGCAGCATCTTATTGCATCAAATGACCAATGCAGATACGGAGCTACAACAGAACAGAACTAGTTTTTAATCTTCACTAAGTAGTACAGCCTTCTGCTACACCCTCCAGGAAGAATGATTTTTGATAACTGATATGTATTAATGGGAAGCAGATGTGTTATTTTATTGTCTCGGAGCTGTTTGGAAAATAGTTCAGCTGTTCCTATTAAGTGAGGTTGCAACTCTTAAGCAGCCATCTGGCTAGGAGGATTTGGAGTGCTTACTGCATTCCTTGCTATTCTGGTACTAAAATGAGGAAGGCCTGATGACAGTGTAAATTACACGTAACAAATTGTCTTGTTTGCTCCTCACTTAGGCCATTTATTTATAGTTACCTATCTAATCTAATTATCTTGAGTAGTTGAAAATAAAGCCTTCAAAACACTAGTTTTTCCCTTTTTAAGTATAATTTAAAATTCTGGTAGTCCGATTTCTGCCTTCACGGCTGGGCTCTGAGTGAAGGTCTCATAGGACACTCATAGGGGTGTCTAGACCACTTGTTTAGTATGCATTCTGCATGGGAATCAAGCCTTTATTGTGGGCATGCTTATATTCCTATGGTAATTACGGCTGTCCTGTTAAGCCAAAAAATGTTTTCCGTTACTGCTTGCTTTCTAACTTACCATCTGTAAGCAATGAAAAACCAGTCCCACTAGACAGTCATATTTCATTTTGCCACATAAATCAGTGGCACAGTGGGATGCAACATGCCAAATAAAGGCATTGCAAACTTTCAGTCTGGCATTGTCACTGCTGATTTTCTTGGTAAGTGCCAAGACAGTCTGTGCAGCTTGCTGGACTTGTTTAAAGCTCATGTAACATACCAGCTCCTTTACAGTGTGCTCAATTTTTTCGTATGATGAACAGTGAAGTAGTAGCTGCTGTTGTAATCCTTTACTTCTCAGGCACATTGACACTATTCCCCGTCCTCTCTTTATTAGTAATGTCCTCCCCGTTGCATGCATGCCCCCCCCTTATGGTTTCCATGGTTAATGGGGCACAGCTGTGTATCTGTAGTCTAAAAATGTGGGCTTGTTAGTATTGAAGTAAAATTCTTCGTGCAAGTGCTCCGACAGGGTAGGGGTGGGGGAACAATGCTATTTCTAGAGGTCAAAGAACACAGTCAGGACTTAAGACGTTATGATGTGCAGTGCTTCTGTAGTAACAGATTTGATAATGCTTTGCTTTTGGGGAGCCTTTCTGTGTTTACAGTGAGGTTGTTTGTTGTAGCTTGGCTGTTTAGAAGTCAGTGCTCTTGATCTGCTTGACATTCCAGCTTCATTCCTTCCCCTGGAAGTCACTTATTTTTACTATCAAGGACTCTATGGAAGCTCTAGTCATGACATACTTCTCAGCTTAAAACAAGACTTGGATGTGCTAAAAAAACCACACTTTAAATTGGACTTACTGTTTTGTAACAGCAAGTCCTTGTTTACTACAGAGTTGCTCTTCTTACTATGCAACAGGAACTCTGGGATTGAAACTATGCTTTGCTGGAGACTTACTCAAGTTACTTAAAGTAGAGATGTTAAGAATTGAATAGGGTGCTAACAGAAGGGGTAAACTGTATCTTGACAAAAGTGCTGGACAAAGGGGTCACTGACTTCTGCCTAACCTTGCTTGTTTTATCAGTTCAAGAATGAATCCTGAATTCCTGTAGTTTGGTTAAGAAAACGTGTGGGGTGTGGGAGGAGAAGGGAGGTGTGGGCAGGTGGTTTCATCATTCAAATTACAATTAGAAAAGCTTCAAGTCAACGTGGACATACACAATTTGCGAAATGAAGCTATACTTTATTCTATCGAATTTCACTCTGAAATGTTTATTTATGAATTCTGTAAAATTAGCTTTCTGATTTGAAAAATGTTAGTTAAACATTGAAAGGACTTGAAATAATAATACTCAGCCTGGAAATTTTGTCCATGAATTCCATGTAAATTGAAGACTCAAGCAAAGGCTGATCACCTGCTTTTCTCATACTTTGTGCTACTTGAATAGTCTCTTCAGAGTTACAACCTGTCATGGCTACTCAATTGTACAATACAGTATTCAATTTCCTAGTTCTGGTTTTAAGTTTCCAAATCACAATTCAGTAAGGAACTTTCTCTGGTGTGGTAAATGGGTATATACTCGAATATTTACAGCTGTTACAGTGGTATCCTTTTTTGCATGACTCTGTAAATGTCCAGTCATCGTGGCATTGGCTTACACTTGCTTGGCTTTTTCATAGTCAGTTGACATCCTGATTCCTAGCATGAGAATTAGTAACCCTTTTATCCTCTAACTTATTTTCAGCCTCTCCCCTCCTTCCTCCCACTCCCACCTCCCCCAAAAACACTCATTGAGATTTAATTTTTGAATAAGTAAATAATTGTTGGCCTCACTTCTGAAAAATGCCTATCCCGTGTTAAATAATTGAACAATTCTAGTGCCACGTCTGAGTTTTTTAGGCCCTTCAGCTTTTTGCAGTACTTTTACAATTTTTATTCCTACTGTGTAGACTGGCAGTGCTCTACTGAAATGCTCTTCATTTTTTACAGTTTATTGCAAGTTCCACTGCATCACATACAAATCGATTCACTCATGTCTAGCTGTTTGTGGATTCAGACTCATAAGAACCATGCCATTACCAGTGAATGTGCAGCATTTTGACAGCCTTTTTTCCTTTGTTCACAGATCCGAGTGGTGAATGCATTTCGTAGCTCCTTGTACGAGGGGCTAGAGAAACCTGAGACACGAAGTTCAATTCACAATTTTATGACGCATCCTGAGTTTAGAATAGAAGACTCCGAGCCTCATATTCCCCTTATTGATGATACCGATGCTGAAGATGATGCTCCAACAAAACGCAACTCTACTCCCCCACCCTCTCCCAATAAAAATAACAATGCGGTTGACAGTGGAATTCACCTTACAACAGATATGAACAAGTCTGCTACCTCTTCATCCCCAGGGAGCCCGCTACATAGTTTGGAAACATCACTCTGATTGTAAGCTGAGTGTTAACACACTAGCTGCGTTGTAAAGAAATTGAAACTGGGTCTCTTCACACATTATGATGGACAAGATGACATTCTTGTCTTGGACTTCAACAGAAGACACACTTGTACGAATGTAGATTTATTTTTTTAAAAAAAAGCTTTCTGCCAGACTGGAGGGTGCTTTTCTGGGGGTGGGAGTAATAATGAACTCTGACAGATAAACAGTAACTCAGCATAAGTGACCTGTGGATCATCTGTTGTACTTAAGAATGGTCCTGAACAGTGTGTTAGCAGAGCTTTAGTTTGTCATGATCCTTTTCTGAGGGGAAGGCTGGGAAGGGCAAGGAGGCCCTGGATCATTGAATTGATACTTTAATTTCTGCTGTTGGCTGTTAATAATTTGGATTATTTATGTTTATAAATGATACAGATCTGTTTACAAGGTTTGTAGATACTTTTTTTGTTCCTGTTCATAGATGGGAAGCTTCCTTATAAATGATGAAGAGAAAAAAAAAAAAAACACAAAAAAAACTTAGTCCTTCAAATACTGCTGTATTTTCAGGAAAAGGGTGTTTCTATTGAAACTGTACTAAATTTTGCCTGCAATTTACCTTGTTAAATATTGTAGATAAATTGCTAATACTAATAGCCAAATAGATAACACTAATGCTTTGTAAAAACATGAGCAGTGGTGTTCTAATGAAGGTATGGCCTCTGTCCTAATTAGTTTCTTAAATACATTTACTACTTAATGGTTTTGAAACAACTGTTTAATTTTTAAAAATTTTGAGAAACTTACTGAATAACTTTTGTTCAGAACTTAGTAGGATTGTTTAATGCAGGACATCAATATGTGATGGAACTTGCTTGAAATATTTCTGTTATCTCGGGCAAAATGGATTAAATCAAAATACATCAGAATCTTAGTCCTTTTTTTTTGTCTAAACATGTTAGTTTAGTGCTGTCTTGGTGAACTGTGAGTGGAACTGTGATTTTTTTCTAATCTATAGAATCCTTCATGCAGCATGAGGGCTGTTGGCATTTTGAAAGGTTGTTAGTGGGTAGCATACATGTTCTCCTTTTTGTTTTTGAAACTTGTTTGTAAACATGAATAAATCTGCCCTTTTGTTAAAATAAAATTGCAGCAATGGTTTCTTACAGATTATTTTTTTTCTCAGCTCCTTCACTGGAAACACTCAAAAGTACTCTTTTTGTATTACTGGTTACCTTTAAACTGCAATTTCAAGATGGTAACAGCCCCACTGAAAATAGTACTTTGGGTAAAAGGAATCATGGTGGCTGCCTCCAGAAAGAATGTAAGCTAAGGTACTCAAAAGTCTTCACTTGAGCCAAAAGGACACTCCTTGGGAATGAATAGGTCTGCTTGAAATTCTGAGACTTACTGTGAGTACTGCATAATAAATGTATCCCTAACCACTTAACTGAGGGGAAACTGAGAACTGACATATAGCACAGGTGAAAACCCATTTTTCAGTTGATCAATATCTTGTGCACCAAAACTGACCTGCTAATGATTGACTGAAGAAGTTATGGTCTGCCTCAACTGTATTGTTTAAACAGCGAAGGATGATGGAACCATGTTTTCTAGGTCCAATACTGTTTAAAGAGCAACCAAAGAGAGGAGTTGTAAACTTTTTTCTCCTTTTTCCAGCTCTGAGTTCTTTAAAATAACTTTTTTTTTTTTTTTTGCCAAATAATCCAGAATTTTGGAGATTTTTAAAGGGATCCCTTCAAAGGAGTGCAGGAATTAAGTTGATAACAAGGGAGGAGATAATACTAGAGCAAACTGCAGAAATGAGCAGGTTGGGGAGCTCAAGTGTATCTTTCCTCTGTGGTGGGATATGTGACATGCTTGGGCTTGTCCTTTAGTGGCTAATGTTCAACCTGTAGCACTGTATCCCACTGTCAACCACTCCTGAAATTCAATCTTTTCTATTGTACTTAAGTAAATACACTGAATTCTAGGCAAGAGGGGTTGGCACTTGACACTTGGTATAGTAATTTCCCCCATATGTTTCTAGTGCTTCCCTTATGTCATAGTTCTTGCGTAGAATGCTTGATAGGGAAATGGGGTTTTATGTAAACTGTTTTCTCCCTGCTACAAAAGTCAGATAAGCATTTGCTTAAAATTGAGAGAGTTTCTTTACCCATGAAGTACAGTTCCATGTGAGAAAGTATCTTCATTTAACTTCATTAACGTGTCACAATTGGACTTCATTTGAAAACAAACTTTAGTTTTTCCCCCTCTCTTCTAGCTGTGTTCATGACTGCGTGTTATCTTTTTTTGGAATAAAGTCTACACTCAAGCCTTTTGGAGATGGTGGAAGGGTGAATGTAGGCTTTGTACATCGGTGGTCCCTCTTGATTCTGTTAACATCAGTGTGCGGTTCTTAAAGGAAACTTCCTTACAGAGATAAGGGAAAAGTTGTTTTAAGAGGGGGGTATGCTTTCTTTGTTATCTCAAGAAATCGTAACATGTTGCCTAGATTATGAAATGGTTATCGCTAAGCTCGTGAGGCCTTCATTGCCTTTCTGGTTGTAAGGTTTACTTGTCTTTTTTCTTGTAACTGAAATAAATAAAAGTGCTGTTCATCTCAGTCTGGATGGGGACTGAAATTCTTGAATGTCAGTACAGAACTGATTTAAACCTGAAATGCATGCCAATTCTGTAAAATAGTTCTTGTGACAACGTTAAGCTCATTCCCTTTCAGGAGGTCATGGTGTACGTGGTATTGTGGTCAAGGAATAGTAACTTCGAACATAAATGCAGTTCTGGGCTGACTACTGTTTTGAAGCGCCTTAACCTGGGTAGGATGTCTACTATACCTGTATATAAGATGAATGTTAGGACATCTAATCTTGGCTTTGAGGGAGGGAGGGAAATTGTTATATAAGGAGACTCACTTTTTCTGTGTTGGTCTTAACAGGAAGAGGAAAATGCTGCATCATGGAGTAGTCTGGAGAGAATAATGGAAACAAATGCCTTAAAGCCAAACCAACGGGTAAATGCAGGTGTCTGTAGCAAGTGTAAGCAGCCAAAAAAAAGAGTGATCTAACACTTTCAGAGACTTTCTTAGAATAACAGGAAGTTTTCCACTGTGTTTCAAAGTAAGCAAGCAAATGCAATATTCATGGAAGGATAACTTGTGTATGTCTGACTGTATGGCAAATTGAAATTGGAAATTGAAAACTTCAGTTTCTGCTAGCACGTCAGCTGCTGTAGAGTCCTAGAAGAATCCAGATCATAGTAAGCGTTGCATAAATTAAAAAGTAGAATGTCTTAATGTCGTACTGCTTTTCTGATGCAAACACTTGGTTCTAAAGAGCTCCTGCTTTTCCACCCCACCCTCTCCACAAGCAGTGCTTATCTTCTGATCTTAGAGCTTTCAAGCCCTCACTGAAATACCTTAACTTTGTTGCATGAGCCTGGCCAGCATGGAGGATCCAGCCTCAGCTTATCTCCAGACTGAACTGGCCTGCTTATTCAGGGCTGTGTCATGAGAACTTCTGGGCCGGAACCAAGAGCCTGAGAGATGTTCCTGCTTAATCTTCTCCCCTGAACCATATGAAGAACTATCTAACTACCTTCTTCAAGAGACTGCAGCATCCATCAAGAAGATGTGGCTTACATGGTGTCTAAACCAAAAGCCTCCTACAAGGTACTACTTACTCTTTTTCTTCAAAGGGAGGTCTAGGACAAGGATTTGCTTAGAAAACTATGGGGTGGGCTTGAAACACTTGAAAGAAGATGGCATGCAAAAGGTAGCTCACTAGACAGTGGCAGCACCATTCCAGCTGCAAAGCATAAAACTAGAGTTGGTGCTTACAGTGCAAATCTGACAAAGCAGGGAGTATTTCTCAGTAGGGGAAACAAATTGCATGTGACTCCTGTGCTTTCATAGTAGCTCAGCAGCATTAATGGGGGATTTTATATAAAAGGAGAAGAGATTGATGTTGTTTATGTCCAAAACATGAACAGCTGCAAGGAAGCAAGCAGGTTTCTCGTGCCCTGTATGGAGCAGGCAGAGGACTTTGTTCAGAGTCCACATAAAACTTTATGACCACTTCAGCTCTTGTTAGTGTTCTGGATGTATGCATTTAAAAGATGGATAAGGATACCTAGCATTGCAGAAGATGGGCAGTAGATTGCTTCAGCCATATCTGATCTTAAAGATGTAGTGAATTCCTCTGTAACTCTCTACTACTGTTATGTGCACCTGACATCTAGTTTTCTAAAAATCTATAAAATTGTTAGGCTGAAAAGGGTTCCTCGGCTTGCCCTGCTGGAAGACGGTGGGAATTCAAGCTTGGAAAAATGACTAGCAAGGGGATTTCTATGAATTAACAGCTTTTGGTTGATGGAAGTGTACATTCTGGAATACTGGAACATCACCTGGCATCTCAAATTCTGGTGTAGAGACAAGTGTCAATCCAACTACAAAGCAACAATTGCTCACTGAAGTGCAAGTATGCAACCTGTATCCCTTTTGATTCATTGCAAAGCCAGCAGTATCTAAGAGTATTCTGAACATCTTCACCTGCTTTCCTAGGCTGCCTTTCTTACAGGGCATGAAGCTGAAGCATTCTGGAAGACTGTAAGTACGATCATATGGAAAACTTTCTATAGGTTCATCCTTAGCAAAGGCACAATCTTGGCATGGCTCTATAACAATTGTTAAGGCACAAAGCAAGTACTAGCTTTTCCTGTTTAAAAGCTTTCAGAGTCTCTTGTAGAGAATCAGAGCATACAGTTCAAATGCTTCTAAAATTTGTGTGAATAGCCTCCCAAAATTTCTGATTAAACTTCTGATTAAGGTACTTGCAATTAAAAACAAACAAAACAAAAAAAGAAACCCAAAACCACCCTACAAATAAACCCCAGAAGATACATCTGTTATTTCAGTTTTACAAATGCAGGCTTCAACTTGACGTTTTCCCTCTTCCACAGATTGGTTGCCCTGATGGCTGTAGGTACAAAGCATCTTCAGTTGTGACCTAAGCTAGTCTCAAGATCCAAAGGAAAGCCACTATTTGGCTGATGTTTGTGGGGAAATACAGAGCTTGTTTTGAATACTGTGCTGGCAGCTACTGCATAGTGTTTTGTGCTATGTACTTTAGGGAAGGAACCTGCAATACTATCAATTTGGAATATTCAGATCCTTCTCACAGGACCTGTCAAAGGATACGTGGGTCAGGCTTATATTACATGAAATAGGGAGCTCTTGGAATTGATATTTTGGTAGGAAGTGCTAGGATTTGCTTTCTGAGCAATGCTACTTTTAAAGATGGGAAGGTATGTCTTTACTTACTTGCTATCTATTGGGCATTAATATTCTCATCAGTGTAACAGGCTAATTCATTGAGGACCTTCATCCAAAGAGCACTCTATTAAACTAGTGTTTTTAAGTAAAAAAAATATTCTGGAAAAGGTACTTTCTGTCATATTTCAATTTCCAGAAAGATGAGTCATTCGTAGGATATTTTTCCTTAATCGACTAGGCTGTGTTCTAATAAATCTAGCAGTAGTATGGACATGACCTGAAACTTGATGTCTTCTCCCTTTCTCCTCTTCCCCTTCCAGTCTGCCAAAGACTATTGTAGGGAATCGGTGAAGGACAGAGGGAGTAAGATGTGCAACTGTGGAGTTGTCTCCTTTATCATCCTCCTACCCTGCCTTGCAATCTCCTCTTCTGCCTTCTACTTCAAGATCTTGCCCACTGTCAGTAAACACACTGGAAAACTGCTGCACAATGTGGCTGTTGGTGTTTCCAGTGAAGGATCCTTAATGTGCTCCTTCAGCTTTTTAATTGGTGTGAAGGCTTGAAGAATTAGATTTTAGACTAAGAATGAACAGTGAATGAACATAAGAATGAGCAGTAGAGAATGAACATGTTTCTCCCAGGCAGTTCATAAAAACCCCCTTACCTAGCTGAGCACTTGATGTTCATTCATAGCTCTGTGCCTGCTTATATGAAAACACCTTGGTATATAGATGAGGTTCCAGCTGTACGTACGGTGGGGATTTTCGTTGTACTTGCAAAGGTACAGGTGTTGAGAATTAGGAGAACACTTCTAAGTTTAAGCCTTGGACAGGAAACTTCAAAAGCACTATGCCTTACAGCA